AAAAAAAAAAAAAGTTGCGCTCGTTTTTTTTTTTTTTTACCGATTTATTCATTTCGGATTTTTATCCTTCCTTTTAAACGTGTAAATAGAAAAAAAAATTTTTTTTTTTTTTTTGTAAATTGAACAAACTCACAACACAAATTTTAAAAACAAAAAACGAACGGTTTCGAACGGTTCATCCTCTAACGGTTTTTTTCGAAAAGGATGACGTAAATTAACAAAAAACAAATTTCCCGAATTTTCTTAATAGTAATAATAATAATAATAATAAAGTAAAAGCACCGACCCGAACGAAAAAAAAAAAAAAAAATTTTTTTATGAAAAACAATCCGACAACCTCCGACGACAACCACCGTTGCCACACTAAAACGTGCGCGCGGATCTCGATACGTAAAGTGAGAGTCGGTCGATCGAATCCCCGTTTAGGCCAACAACAACAACAAACAACAAACTCGAGACAGCTTCGGCTTTTCATTTGTTTCATTAAATAAAAAACGGATCCGAATCGTTCGTTAAAAAAAAAAAAATTTCTTTTTTCTTTTACTATCCTATCTCTTTCTCTCTCTCTCTCTCTCTCTCTCTCTCTCTCTCTCTCTCTCTCTCTCTCTCTCTCTCTCTCTCTCTCTCTCTCTCTCTCTCTCTCTCTCTCTCTTTCAATCAATTATCTTCTGACACTTTTCGTTCCGGTATACACTCGAAAATGTAAATCGATATATCGATCGATCAATCGTTCGATTTCCTTTTTATTTTCGTTTGGAAAAATGAAAATTTTCAACGTGCCACGAATTGTCCAAAAAAATTCTTATTTGTCGAAAGCAGACTATAATTTTAGGAAGAGTCTAATTACACGATGGGAAAAGGGTGAAGCTTAAAATCGTCTTTTTCTCGTTATCATTATTATTACGAACTCACACGCACGGGCACGCACACACACGCAAAAAAAAATTAATTAATAAAAAAACAAATAAAATTATCGTGGCACAACGACGACAACAACAACAACACGTTCATGTTTTTGTTTTTGTTTGTTTTTTTATGTTTTTTTATGTTTTTCTTCTTCTTTTTTTTTTTTTTGTATGTTCGTGCGCGATAGCGAAAGTTTTTATTTTTTTTATTTAATTAAAGGTCGACATTGACAAAAAAAAAAAACTCGATTCTTTCACAAAAAAAAAAAAAATTTCCATGGTTAATTTAAAAGGTTAAAAATTAACAATTTAAATAATGATAATAAAAGCAGACGACACATTGTCAAAAATTTTTATTATTTGCAAAAAAAAAAATTTTCTTTTAGAGAAAGTAGTTTTTTTCCCTCAACTAAAAATGATAAGTTTAATTCAAAATAAATAAATTCTTATTATTTTTATTTTTTTCTCTATTTGAGACGTGGCTTTAGAAAAGTCACGATCAATTAACAAAAGTAAACTTTTACTTAAATCCACTTTTAAATAAATAAATAAATTCCGATACGAATTCAATTTTTCAAACGTAAAAAAAAAAAAAAATTTTTTAAACGTGGCAAAAGAAATCTCGTCTCATTTTTCGGTGTGAAGGGGGAGAGGATCAGATGGGGAGGGGAGGGGAAAGAGGGCAGGGTGGTAGAAAGAATGAGGAAGGAAGAGAAAAAATAAAACTGCAACAAAATGCAAAATTTTTTTTACGGAAAGTTATTATTACTACTAGTTCCACGATCAAAAAAAAAAAAACTCGAAGGGATAAAATTCAGGAAATTTTTTTTATTTTTAAAAAGCGTGCGGAAAAGAAACAAACAAAAAAAATTTTCCCGAGGGGGGATTCAAAATGATCCCTTTCGAATTAAGGTTACGTAATTAATAAAATTTTTTAAATTTTTTTTTTTAAAATCTCGTTTTTCATTACATAAAAAGTGAAATTTTATATTTAAAAAAAAATTAAAGGAAAAATAAAATAATTACGATTAAATTTAATAAACTCAACAAACAAACAAACAAACAACAACAACAACAACAAACAACCGCCCGTAATTATTTTTATACATAAAAAAAAAAAAAAAAAAGAAACCGAGTAAAAATATCGATGACTAAATATGGCTCTCGCCATTTTTTTTTTTCTCTTTTTGAGAAAAAGTAACAAACGGAAATAAAATTTTTTTTTTTTCTTGTCTTCCTGGTTGTTTGTTTCACCTTTTTCCTTTTCTAAACAAACAAACAGAAAGAAAATAAATTTCGATGCCATTTAAGTTCATCATCGTCGCCCTTAAAGGTTGAGAAAGAGAGAGAAAGAGAGAGAAAGAGAGAAAAGTGAAATCTTTGCATTTCGTGCTTCGAATACGAAAATTTAAACAAAAAATAAAATTGGGAAGTAACCCCTTCCCCATCGCCTCCCACCCCCTCCGAAAATAAAATAAAAAATTTTTTCCTTTTCGAAATCGAAACGAAATTCAAACAACTTTTACAAATTTTTTATTCCAATTTTTTATTACTCGATTTAACTAAACTAAAACTATTTTATTATCTTACTAACTAACTCCTGCCACGATATAACAGCCATATTGCGCCTCTATCGTTAAATTCCAAATATTATTATCATTAAACAAAAAAAAAAACGCGTTCGATTATTATTATTACTATTATTTTTTTCGTAAATTCGAAAAATTTCTTTTTTTTTCCCCGTTTTTTCCTAAAAAAAAAATTCGTGTCATTAGCGAAAAAAATTAATTTTCGATCGTGTCATTAACGAAAAAAACAAAAATTGTATAAAAATTAATCATTATCATCATCATCATCACCACCATCTCCATCACCATCATCATCGTCATAGTCATCATCACTACCACTACCACCTTCATCATCATGATCATCATCATCTCTACCACCACAGTCATCATCATCATCATCATCAACAACAGCAACACTTCAGTTTTAGGATTAAGAGAACGAGAGAGAAAGAGAGTGAGAACAAAGAGAGAATAATAAAAAAAAAATGTAGTAGGAAGAGAGAAAAGTGAAAGAGAGAGAGAGAGACAGATGGTGAAAACAAACGAAAAGGAAAACAAACATGAAAGCGATAAAAAACAATTTGAGAAAATGTGAGAGGAAGAAAAAGAATAAAAAATAATCGCCGCCGGAGATCGTTCGTTCACTCAAAAATGGTAACATAACGTGGCAGTAGTTATAAAGAAAAGTTATTGCAAAAAAAAAACATCGTAAAACTTTTTAAAGTGGTTTTAATTTTTGAGTACCTGAATAATTTATGTTACACGTGACATTGACGATCGGGGGGCGAGGGGGAGGGGAAACAGGACGGTCATCCAGAAAAACAAAAATTTAACGCCCGTGAAATCAAGGCGATCGTGTCGGGAGCCAGCAGTAGAGGAAAAAAAAAACGATAACATTCGATTTTGTGACGAATCAATCTTAATTAAATCATCGCTACAACCACAACAAACAACAAACAACAACGACAGCAACAACCCTTTATCACCTCAGGAAAAAAATTTTCACACCCCCAGAGAGTAAACAAATAAATGATAAAAGATAATAAAAAAATACGAGAAAGGGAAACAGACGGTTCGTTTGTTAACGCAAACAACAAACAACAAACGGCAACAAACAAATAATAATAATAATGATACTCGTAAAATTGATGAACGTAAAATTTGACGTTTTTTTATCAACTTTCGATCGTAACTTTTGTTGACTTATTATCGATTTTTTATTTTTATTTTTATTTCTTATCGTCTGCTATATTATTATTACTATTATTATTATTATCATTATTATTATTATTATCATCATCACCATTATTTCACGCTTTTTTTTTTTTCATTATTCATAGAAACCGTAAAAAATTGCTAAGTTTTTTCTTTTTAAATTTAAACATTACAAACGAGTAATAATAAAAAAATAATAATAATAATCATGATGATGATGATGATGATGATGATGATGATAATAATGATGAAAACGTTTATTTTTGTTTTATCACCTCAATTTTATAATAACGCGGGAAACGAGGTCGAATAAAAAAAAAAAAAAAATTTAGTTGTTATCGCAACACTCGTGGAAAAAGAGAGAAGGAAAAAGAAACAGAAAGAAAGTGAGAGAGAGAAAGAGAGAGAGAGATTGCAATGAAAAACTTAAGAATGAGAAGGAGAGAGAGAAAGAAAAAGAGATGAAAGACGAAAGATTTGAAAAGAAAGAAAGCGACAGAGAGAGAGAGAGAGAGAGAGAGAGATCAAAAACTAAAGAGAAAGAAGACAGAAAGAGAGAGAGAGAGAGACATGAGAGAGATGAGAAACGAAAGATTAAGAGAGAGAGAGAGAGAGAGAGAGAGAGAGAGAGAGAGAATGAAGTAACAGGAAAAACGATTTCTGTCGGTTGTTTCGAATCGATTTTTTTCGAATTCCCGAAAAATTTTCCAGAAAATTTTCATCACATCACTGAAACAACAATAATGACGTGGACGACAAAGACTTTCATTTATTTCACACATCTCTTCATTCGGATTCTAATTCCACGAAAAGCCGACAAAATCAAACCCTCCCCAAAAAAAATAAAAATAATCCCACGTTTTCCTAATACAACAACAACAAACACGCAACAAAATTCAAACTAAAAAATTTTCCCGCTTTTTTTTCTCATCGCAAAAAAAAAAAAATTCCAAACTTTCCCATTTCCCTTTTGTTATTAAAAAAAAAAAACCTGCGTAATAATCATTATAATGATAAACAATACCATAATAATACTAATACTAATAATAATAATAATAATAATAATAATTAATAAAGAAATAAATATTCATGCGAATAAATGAGGCAATGAAATTATTGAATAAATAATAATCAATTAAAAAACTCATTATTATTATTACTATTATTATTATTTTAATAATTTTCGTTGTGAAATTTTTTTTTTGTGTGAATGACGTCATCAAATTTTAATTTCATTTAAATTTTAAATTTCTTAATTAATAAAAAATCCCGCCCCCCTCCCTTCTCGTTTTGCCCCACCACAAATGAGAAATTAATGTGGATTCGCGGTCCGTGCTTTCTCCTATACTGTTTTACCTAAAATAGTTACAATAAAAATCGATAGATGTCGTTCACGCGCCATTCAATTTTATTTTAATTTTAATTTTTTTTGGAGGGAAGGGGGCGGGGAGAGGGGGGAGAAAATAGATGTTTTTAGTTTGTCGTTTGTTATTGTCTGATCGACAGTTGATGAACAAAAAAAAAATTTCACATTAATCGTAAAAAAAATTGTTTTTTTTCCCCCCCTCAAACCTACCTCCTCGCTCCTTATAAAAAATATTAGTAAATAAAAATGGCGGTCACGGAGTATTAAGAGAAAACGTTCCAAGACATAATCACCGAATAATAATCGATAAATTCAATCGATAAATTTTTCACGCTTCATAGAATTTCATAATAAAATAATTTGTTTTGATAAAAAAAATCCATACGGCGGCCTTCTCTCTCCCAAAAAAAAAAATTACCTGACATTTACGTTTTAATTTTAAATGTAATGCAGGTACGCAGGAGGTACGCACTTCCCCACTCACTCACTCATTCAACTCCGAATATTTTTGAGGAATATATTGGGAAACCGTAAAAAAAAATCATTTTTTTCATTTGGTTGGGTTCACGGTCGGTCGATTTTTTAAACAAAATAATAATAATAATAATAATAATTGTTATCATTCTTACCTTCCATGACGTAAACGATGCTTCCAACATCTCCTTCTTTAATGATAAGACTTCCAGCTGCATATTCGACCGGGTACATGCAATCAACGGTTTCTTTGATTTGTGTCGGTTCTAAATTTTTCATAAAATCATTGTCTAATATGGCGGCTTTTATGAGCTCACGAGACCTGAAAATTATAAATAAATTAATTAATAATTTTCTCCAGTAATTATGTCGATTCGACGACGACGACGACGACGACTGCCCCCCTATTTTCCAGCATGGGAAACAAGCGACAAGTAAATTCCAGGTACACGACGAGCAAAGTTTTTTTTTTTTTTAAGGAAAAGAAAAATCGAAAGGAGTAGAGAGGAAGGGAGGGGAGAGGAGAGGGTAGGGGAGGTAGGGGAAAGGGAAAAAAGGATCCTAAACATTTTCGTGGAAGATATTCCACGACGACATTAGTTAGTGCCACGACGAAAATTCAAAAAAAATTAATTTGCTTCTATTTTGATAATAACAAACGTTACGAAGACGGAAGTAAACAAATGAGAGAGAAAGAGAGAGAGAGAGAGAGAGAGAGAGAGAGAGAGAGAGAGAGGGAGACAGAGAAACAACAAGAAAAACCATAATAATAATAATGATGATAATAATGATAATAAAAGGTGGGATTTCAATTTTTAATTTTTTTTTTAAATTTCGTTTAAAAAAAAAAAAACCTCCAGGACAAAATATCGTAAAAAAAAAAATTAATCGATGTATCGATCGATCGATACATCGACCCACAAACGTTTAACATAGATTTTAAGTCACGTGGGTTGAAAAAACCTAAAATATTAATAATAATTTCTTTTGAAGGTAATTTATTTTATAAAAAATAAATTAATAATATTTAAAAAGTTTACATTTTTGATTTGCCAGATGTCGTTTTAAGTAAAAAAAATGGTCGGGGGACACCGCGGAACGGAGAGGAAGGAGAGAAGGAAGGAGAGGAGAGGGGAGGGAAAAGGTCATTGATCTCGCGTAGGCAAGTAGTAACCGTTTTAAGAGTGTAAATAATTAAAATTCGTTACCCGTCGTTGGCGAAAAAAAAAAAAATAGAAAATAAATAATAATTTAATTTTTTTGACAAAAACTGTTACTACTACTACTTACTACTACTACTACCCATACCGATGATAGTAATGATAATAATAATGATAATAATAATAATAATAACGATAATGATGATGTCGACGATTGTAGAAAAAAAAAATTATTTTTACATTATTATTATTATTTTTATTATTATTATTATTTCTTCGCGTCCTGGAAATTCGATTTTTTTCTTTTTAAAGTTTTCAATATGCTGGATAATAAAAAAGTTGGAGACAAAGAGGAAAAACCAGAAATTCGCTGGAGAAAAAAGAAAAAGAAAAGTGTTTGGAGAAAAGTTAATGGGGTAATTATTCTTTCATTGTAATCAAACAACAACAACAACAACCACTTGAAAATTGATTATTCAAATAATAATAATAATAATAATAATAATAATAATAATAATAATAATAATAATAATTTTTTATTGTTCCATAATAATGATGATGATAATGATGATAACGCTGGATAATTTTTCGTCAAATGAATCGACAAAATTTTCATAGTCATAAATAATAATTAAAAAAAAAAAATTTTTTTTTTCGATTTTATTCTTTCTGCTCCTGGAAAAATATTTAATTATCATTTTTTTAAATTTAAAATTAAATTTATATTTTATTCTGCCTCCCCTCCCCCCTCCCTCATTTAATTTGAGGCGTGTCACAAACCGATCGATGGTAAATTTACGACGTGGGAGTAAGAAAGAAAAATTAAGAACGAACGAACGAACGACATTTCTTAAATTAACAATTTAATTTATTATTATTATTATTATTATTATTATTATTATTATTATCATTATTATTCTATCGATTTTAAGATTCTTGTTTGCTTTTATTCAAAACATAAACATAAAATGATAATGATAATAATAATAATAATGATGACGATAATTTTCAATTGTTAAAAATATGGAACGAAAGAGGTACGCGAGAGGTCACATGCAAGAAAAAAAAAAAAAATTAAATATTTCGTCCACGATAAACAAAAGGGGGAGGAGGTAAGGTACCCTCAAATGTCGTCATAATTTTCTAATGCCACGGCAAAATATTATCGAAAAAAACCCCCCACGAATAATGATAATGTTTTCCCTTCCTTTCGCGTACGAAGCAAATCGATCGATTCTGCGAGATTTCGAAAATGTTAAAATGACGTGGCATTAGATAAAAAACAAAAAAGTAGTATTTTTAATAATTATTATTATTATCATTATCACGGTAAATACGTTTTCAAACTTCACGGATAAATCATAAAATTAATGATGATGATGATCGCATTCATGCTTTCCTATGTTTTTCGCGTTTGTCTACTTCCCCGTTTATTTACGCTCGCTCCTCTTTCCTTCCTTCCCCACGTATATGAAACAGGAGAAGGGCTTTAATTAAAACCCTCCTCCCCCGACTTTTCTTAATAATGATAATAATGATTTTAATTACAGGTTTGAGACGATGGTTGCGGCGGTTTTTTATACTCTTTTCCCTTCCCTCCAGTTCCCCGATTAAAACGTTCCAGTTTTGGAGAAATAAATAAACAAATCCGAGAAATTCGTTACCCGAAAACAAACGAAAACAATCGATTGATTAATGAATGAATGAATGAATGAATGAATGATTAATTGTGATTGACTGACGGAGAATGATTGAAAGTGATTATTTATCCAGCACGTTTTTTTTTTTTCTGTGCCTGGAGGATATGCAACGACATGGAAGAAAAAAAGTCGGACGTTTGTATGACCCGGAAAAGGAAATGAAAAAACGACAGAAAGTTAGAAAATCAAACTTACTTTGACGATTTTGGAATTTTAACAATGGGAAATTCTCCAGCGCCATTTAATAAAGGTTCCGCGGATATCGCTTGACGTTTAGGACGATCGCCAAATTTATGACGTTCGTCATCGTCAACGTCGTGACAACATTTTCTCCTGTTGACGATTTCTTTCGTCAGTGGACGAACAACTTGTTTAAATTTATCAATTTCATTTTTCAAATGCCTTATTAGCGCATCTTTTTCATCCATTTCCTGTTCCAGAAATTTTATCATTTCGTCTTTTTTATTTATATCATCGAGTTTTTGATTTAAAAGAATTTTCAATTCTTGTACGGTCGCCATTTTGTTTTCTTTTTTTCTTTTTTTTTATTTAACGTCAAATCTCACTTTTCGTCACTCTTTTTTCTTTTTAATCGGGACAAGAATAAAAAAATAATTTATCCGATTGATTGATTTATCGATTCGATATAATCATCGTAATATATAATATTTATCTACTGCCACGTTATTTAAAAAAAAAAAAAAATTAACAAATTATTTCGAGTTTTTACATTAAAAAAAAAAAAAAAAAAAATTCACGTTCGCGACAAACAAACAAATTTTTTAAAAAAAATATATATTATTGATGATGATGATAATAATGATAAGCCTTACAAACAAAACAATCGAAACTAAACAACAAACGACAATCGATCGAATTTGCGTTTGTACGATTACGTCAACGAAAACTGGACGTTAAGTTCGTCGCGATGGTAAAATTTCCCGAAAACAAAAAAGAATTGCCCCCCTTCTTCTCCCTCCCCTCCCCTTCTCATTCCCCCCACTATCGTGTCCATATTTGTTTCGTCTATTTTTTTTTGTTAAAATTTCTTATCACGCCTGAATTATCTAAATTTAAGGTACAAATGACCAAAACGCACGCATTTTACACGCGCGATTAAAAATTTAATTCGATCTAATTTTAACAACCCGCGCACGCGCGCACTCACGCAATCTCTCCACTCCCATTTATACTAATTTTTAATTTAATCATTATTAGTATTACCATAACAAAACAAATTTTCAAGTTAATAATAATAATAATAATAATAATTAATTATTTAAAATTCAGGTACGGCCGAAGTGAGTCTAAAAAAAAAAAAAAAAAAAGAAGGAACGCCCGCATGAATGGTGAAACACACTCGTATCGAAATTTTCTTTTGTTTTACATTGAATAAATATAGACAGCCGACGCCTTTCTTAGCGCCCCCCTCTCTCTCTCTCTCTCTCTCTCTCCCCCCGCACCAACGAATCAAGAAATCTTCCCTCTCTCCCTCCCTCTTCCCCTCGAGAAAGTCGCAAATGTTTGAAACTAAAACCTCTACGTAAAAACCTTTTGCGCGTTTGCACATCGAAAAACAAACAAACAAACAAACAAAAACCCTTTTTTTTTTTTTTAAATTTTACAAAGACCAAATTGACGAGATTATATTTAATAAATAAATAAACAAACAAACGAACAAACAAACAAACAAACACACACACGGAGCAAGTCATTTTTCGTAGTTACAAATTTTTTTTCATTTATTAAAAAAAAAAAAAAAAAAAATCGAAAATAATAATGATAACAAATAAATTATTTATGTAAATTTCGAACCCTCCGTCAATAATAATCGTTAAATAATAACAACTTATTGAAAATGAAGGAATCCGGGGGGGGGGGCGAAGGGGGCTATAAAAAATTATTTCGAACGATTTAATTTTTTCATTTTTTTTTTTTTTTTGAAATTTCAAAACCGAAAATTTTTTCCTACTTAATTCGTTTAAAAATCAATCGATCCGATCAATCAATCAATCAATCATTCAATCTTAACGACTTAATTATAATAATAATAATAATAATAATAATAATAATAATAACAATTAATAATAATGAAAATTTGTAATTTAATCCGCCCCCATCGCGGGTAAAAAAATTTAATTATAAGTTTTTTACACGCGACGTCAATTTTTATAAAATATTTAGTATCATTATTATTATTATCATTATCATTATCATTATCATCATTATCATTATTACAACATAATAAAAAGTAAAGTTTAAATAATAATAATAATAATAATAATACAAAAAATCCCTAAAGATGATGATCAATTTATTTTACCGACACAAAAACTTTAAACGTCGCGAAGTATAAATTTAAAAAAAAAAATAAAAACACAACAAACAAACAAACAAACGACAATTTGTTTTTTACCCCCGAAAAAGTCGATTTAAATAAATGTTCGACAATAAATAAATAAATACGATCGACGCGTAAATAAAAAAAAAAAGGTAAAACAATCACGAAACAAACGTTCGTCGACGGTTGTTTATGGCGTCGTTTGTCGGATTCTAGACACTGACTGACACCGACAAAAGAAAAAGAAAAAAAGAAAAAGGAAGAAGAAGAAGAAGAAAAGAACAGAATAGAATAAGAAAACGTTCAATCATTCATTCTCCTCATTAGACTGCGCTCTAATCGCATAAACAAACAAACACAACGTTTATTTTCTCTATGACATTTTTATTATTAATACACTCGAACCGGAAGTGTTTGCGATTTGTTTCTTTTCGAAACGATTTTCGGAATGAGTGGGAGGAGAGGAAGGGGGATGAGAGAGTGTAAAATTTAAAAAAAAAAAAATTTTCTATCCCCGTGGAAAAATATAAACAAACGAACAAACGAATAAACAAACTTTGATTTCGTTCGATTTTACCAGAAGACAAAAAAAACATATTTATTATCATCATTATTTAAAAATAAAAAAATTTAAACGAATTTTTTTTGAATCCTCCAACAAACGAATCCATTTCTTTCTTTTTCAACAAACAAACAAAAAACAAATTAATTTTTTTTTATCTTCTTATCTTTCTAATTTTGTTTCTTCTGCTTTTTCGCATCGAAAAAAAAAATTTAACGCCAAGTTTCTAATTATTTATTAAATTGTCGGTAATTATTTACTTCCCTTTTTTTTTGTCGTTTCCGTACAAACAAACAAACAAACAAACAAAATTTTCATTTGGCAAAAGCATCAGACAAAAAAAATTCTTCGAAAGGTGAAGAAGGGAGAGGGGGAGAGCGGGGGGGGAGAATCGCACGAATTACGGTAATTAATTAATATTTTTAATTACAATTTAAACGACAACAACAAACGACAACAAACAACAAACGATAATAGAAATTACGATGATGGAATAATGAATGCGAAGAATTCCAGTCGGAAGAGGTCAAACACCACCACCACCATTAACATAAAAATCATTATCATCATCGTGATTCGTTATCAAGTAGGTCGTTATCATTTATTATTGTTTTTTCTAACAACGACAATCCAAGTTTGCCTTCGTTTGTTTGTTTGTTTTATAACAAACGAGTGTAAAAATGATTGAATGGTCGTTAATTAATAATTTTTTTTTTTTATTAAACGCGTGCTAAAAAAATTTCATTTAATTCATTTCCTCTTTTTTCGGTGGGGTTTTCAATCGGAAAAAATTCGTTAATTTTACATTGTTGCCAACCTTTCCATTTGCAAACTTTAATAATAATAATAATAATAATAATAATAATAATAATAATAATGATATTTCTTATAAGCGAATACATACAGAAACAAGTTAATTTTTTTTTGAATTAATTAATTTCCTTTTTTTTGGTTACAATGTAGTCGCCATTAAATAATATTAATAATAATATACACAGACATTCCACATTAAAATTTACATAATTTTTTTTTTATGTTTCAAAATGTAAAAAAAAAAAAAAAAATGGCCGCAAAACAAATTACGAAAAACAAAAACAAAATAATAATAATAATAATAATTTTTTACGAAACGTGACAACGAGTAACGAATTTTCACATTTAAAAATAAACAGAAGAAAAACAACGACATCTGGTATCGTTTCCGTGAACTAAAATCAAAACTGTTTTAGTTACAAAAACAATCACACGGGGTAAAGAGAGAGAGCGAGAGCAGCACCGTCGACCGTACTTTTTTAAACATCAACAACAATTTCATGTAAACGAATTCAAAAAAAAAAAAAACAATGACGTTAATCATTATTCAAACGACGAATAAATACAATTAAAAAAAAAAATTGAATGATTATTATTATTATTATTAAGCAAATAAAGTCGTTAAATCGGAAATCGATTAAGTAAAAAATAGAAAAAAAAAAAAAAAAAACAATTAAAATAATAATAATGATAACGACGACGAACGACCGATTATTATTATTTGATTTATAACGAACAAAAAAAAAAAAAAAAATTTCCCATAATTTAAAAATTTATTATTATTATTATTATTATTATCATTATCATTATTATTTTGTCCGTTAAAAACAATCATCGAAAAACGAAAAATGAAAAAAAAAAAAAAAAAGGACCGCATTCTTCTTACAACGAGTAAAATGAAATTCTTACAGTCATTACCAACCGAAAAAAAACTACAACAACGAGAGTACCTGATTCTTTTTTTTTTTTGTTCATTTCATTTTTTTTTTTTTTTTTTGACTGAACCTTAAAAAATAAAAAAATACCCGAAGGTATTCGTACGTTTGTTCGTTTGTCGCCATATTTTTTTCTATCTCTCTCTCTCTCTCTATCTCTATCTCTTAAATTGTTTTGTGCGATTCGACATCGTGAACTTATTCATACACCTCTCAACAACAACAACAAAAAAATCGTTTTCCTTCTTTTTTTTTCGGAAAGAAAAGCAGAAGAAAAAATAAACACGCACACGCACACACACACGCACACACACACACAAGACCAAAATTTCACGAAAAAAAAAAAAAAAAAAGTTGCTCGACTGCTTTAAAGTCATTATAATTTTAAAGTTGGTTGTTGTTGTTTTTTTTTTCTAACAACCTTGAATACTCGAAGGACATGAAAAAGCTGTAAAACATTTTAAGACATTCTATTTATAAATTGGATTAAATAATAATGATGATGACGACGATGTAAGAATGATGAAAAATTTATTTTTTCCGGAAAAAATTACGACACGACAATATTATTATTATTATTATTATTCTTTTTTTTTTGGCACGCTTTAATGAGAATTTAAAAAAAAAAAAAAAAAAACAGAAAAGGAGAGAGTGAAACTTAACAATTTAGGCACGAAGGTACTTTGTAATAGAGAGAGAGAGAGAGAAAGAGAGAGTGAGAGAAAGGAACAGAGGCAGACAGAGAAAGAAAGAGTAATGAAGAAAAAGAGAAAAAAACAATAAGTAAAGGAGATTTTTCACAGAGAGAGAGAGAGAGAGAGAGAGAGAGAGAGAGAAAGACAGGAAAGACAACTAAAAAGAAAGAGAGGA